TTTTTTTCCTAGTGTTGTCTGTCTTTTCCTGCTTTCTTCCTCTTTAGCACAGGTTCCTGGGGTGGAGGAGTCAGCTGTTCCTGAAGCCCTAAGTTGCTGGTACAGGTCCTAGTGAGTGAGCTTTCGCCCCAGATCCAGTTCAGGCTTGGGACTGGTCTAGATGAGGCCATGCTGGGATCTGGGGGTGCCAACTGCATGATGTTGGGCACAGAGCTCAGCCCTGCTGGGCCCTTTCCCCATGAGTTAAAGGTGGGAGCAGGCCAGGTGAGTTGAGAGTGATGTTCCTTTTTCTCCTAAGGCCATGATTCCTGTTAGAGACCTCGGTGCTTATCACTCAAGGTAGAGTTCTGAAAGCCATCTCTGCTGCCCCTTGGGATGACACTGAGTTACAGCAGGCAGTTATTTTTAAGCTAGAGCCTGTAATCTTGAAACAGACCCGGCTGTTTCTTTGTGAGTGTGGTCCTGTCAGCTCCCGGTACACACGTGACTGTGCTCTTTGCACACCCATGGTGAATCACATTGTGAGGGGACTTGGAGGACATGCATGCTCCACACTTCTGTTTTCTGCATGTGTGCCCCCCTTTCAGCTCCATGAGCTAATTAAGTAGCCATTTGCAGACATGAAATACCACAGTCCCATCCAATGGGTTTCCAGATTAGATTCTCCCATGGAGGCAGACCAGGGAGAAAACCTGCCTGCAGTGGGTGTTTCAGGGTCCAAGAGGAAGTAGGACTTTGATTGCTTTCTTCCTGTTAAATGTTAGGTTCTTACTGCTGCTTCCTCCTAAAGCTTAGAACTTTCAGCAAAGGACATAAATATGAAAATTATGCCTAATCCTCATTTCAGCTCACTCTGAAACGTGCTGTCTGAAGCAACATAGCATTAAGGTGCAAGCCTGCGTGGGCTCGTGGACCAGTGTGTCTCCATGGGCACTGGCCTGTACCTGTGTGGTTGTATTCCCACTGCTTGCTGTTTCTTCCTGGCAAAGTGTATGTTTTGCCTTTTGGCTACCTGGTTACTTGCTGGCAATCCACTTAGATCTGGGTTCTGAACTGTCATCTCAGCCTTTGCAGCCTCTGCCCCTCAAATGTGGTTTCTGCTTTGTCCCAGGATTTGGTCCCAGCTGCACATCCTGAAGTCTCTTTCATGGGAACTGAGATATGGAACTGGATTTGTCAGGCCTTTGCTTGGATATGTCACGGGCTCTGGTCCCTGTGCTGCTTTACTCCAACTTTCTTGTCTTACTACTATGGCGTTTGTGTGGCACGTCACTGCTGCAAGTATTACATGGAGTTGGGATGTCTTTTCTTTGTAATTAGATTTGAATCCTCCAAGACTAGGGAGGACCGACATGCCTCTGTGTTCCCAAGCTGAGTCTTCGCCATGTGATCAGGTTCTTACCAACCACATGCCCAGGTCACACACCCAGGACTCAGTTTGGGCACCTGAACCAGGTAATTGCAGGACTCTGGGGCCAGTATTGGAGGCGGTGGTGGTTGTCTTGTCTCGTGTCCCAATGTCCAGTCTGTTCTTGGTGGCCCTCATTGTTTGCTTCTGCTCAGAGACATCTCCCAGGCACTCTGTGCTGTTCAGTTCCATGAGGCCTGCCTATCAGGTCTGTTACTTGCCTTCTTTGAAAGCACCTGTTTTTGGCTTTTTGTCTCCCTCCTTTAGTGATGAGGTCACAGCTTCTGCTTATGGTGTCCTGCTGGATGAGTGACTTGGGAGGAGCCGAGGGCAGGATGTTTAGCTGTCAAGGGCTCATGCTGCTGCCCTGCCTTCTGCTGCAAGTGTCTGGTGACAGGCCTCTCTGCTTGCCCCTCTGCAGTGCCTATGTTTGTGAGTGTGGTCCTGTCAGCTCCCGGTACACACGTGACTGTGCTCTTTGCGCACCCATGGTGAATCACATTGAGTCTTTAGACCAGGGGTGGGCAAATTTTTTGACTTGAGGGCCACAATGGGTTCTTAAACTGGACTGGAGGGCCGGAACAAAAGCATGGATGGAGTGTTTGTGTGAACTAATATAAATTCAAAGTAAACATCATTACATAAAAGGGTACGGTGTTTTTTTTTCAATAGTTTTATTCATTTCAAACGGGCCGGATACGGCCCGTGGGCTGTAGTTTGCCCACAGCTGGTTTAGACCCTCCTGCTGTTCATAGGCAGTTTCACACAGTAGCTCCTTTCTGGAGAGGCAGAGCACCTTAATGGTAACCTAATGCTAGCCCAGAACACTTTCCTACTAGATCTAAGTCAGATTTATTCCACAAGGATGTGGAACAGTCAGGGCTTGAGTGTACAGGTTGCCTCCATGTCAGCCAGCCCAGCCTGTCTGTGTATTGAGCACAGGCACAGTCCCTCTCCCTAACACCGTGCGCTGTGCTCTGCTTCAGTTTACGTATGGAATCTGCCATGCTCTTATCCAATGGCAGTGTTTTGTGGGTTGCCAGCTAGTTCACGAATACGATTATTTTCTGGTGACTCAGTACGCCATACCCTAGACCCGTGGTTGGCAAACCGCGGCTCGCGTGCCACATGCGGATCTTTGGCCCCTTGAGTGTGGCTCTTCCACAAAATACCACGTCCAGGCGCACACGTGTACAGTGCGATTGAAACTTTGTGGCCCATGAGCAGAATTCGGTATTTTGTGGAAGAGCCACGCTCAAGGGGCCAAAGAGCTGCATGTGGCTCATGAGCCGCAATTTGCCGAGCCGCAGTTTGCCGACCACTGCCCTAGGGCCAATGCCCGGAAATGTGGTGGGTGAGCCAAGACTCAGCCCAGCCATACAGTGATTTAAACTACATGGTGAAGCTTTTGAATACTCTGATACTGCGTGCCTTTAACTTACACTTGGGATTGATTGCATGGAGGTTTAATGCATCTTCCAGCTTTAGTGTGGGTGGAGGAACGTATTATTAGGCATCATTTATTCATGTGGCGAGCATTGAGATCTTTAGGCCTGGGGCAGAGAGTAGCTTCATCCCGCATCATGGAAGGTCTGTACTGAGCTGGATGCTGCCCTGTGCCATGGACTGCAGTGTGAAATGAGGACACTGGCTGGCGTCTGGGTGTCTTAACTGCTTCTGATTTTAGCGTTTCACTCAGATGGAAGCTGAGGGTGGACATTGAGGAGTTGAGTTGAGGAAGATGGTTTAGGGACGTGTATTGTCTGGTGGAGCCAGAGAGAACAGCCCTTGCATTCTCAGAGCCCAGCTGTGGAGCCCTGTACAGGTGGTACCTCCCAGCACCTGCTCTGACCCCGCCCATCCAGGAGCTGCAGCTGGACAGGTTTTCAGAAGTGCCTTTTGGTGTTTCTGAAGTGTTCACAGTGGGTTAAAAGTCAGAATATGTATATACTTTCCTGAATTTTTCAGTTTTTTAAATGAATCACTCCATCTATAAATGAAATCAATTTCGCCTACTTCTTTTCAGGAGAAAGGTTTGAGACCCATTTCCCATCACTGTCTCGAGGTATCGGTGTGAGTGGCAATAAAGGTGCTCAGAGCCTTAGGTTTACAGTTCTGTGGTCAGGCCAGCTCGGGGTGGTTGTGCTCTAGGAGAAAAGCCTCAGTAGTTGGGCCTGGTGGCCTCAGTGGCCTGCCTCCATCCTTCTCTTGACTCAGGGAGCATGGACTGTCTTAACCCTCTAATATGCTGTTTTTCTTATAACTATTGTGGTACCTTCACGTGGCCAGAATTGGGGAGAGGGTGCTGACTGTGGGAGAGACTACAAATACCAGCATTTGGTTCTCTGAGCTGCCCAGGAACTGCTGTCCCTGCGGGTGCACAGTCAGAGCTGCTCCATCCCTCTCCTGTGGTGCAGTGCTGAGGGGCTCATGCAGGCCATAACAGAGGGCAATTTGGGGGCCTCACATGCCTTGCCCCCTTCCTCAGATGCTCTTCAGCTCTTGGGAGCACCTTTTTAGACCTTCTTGGGTCACTAATTTTGTCCTTAGATTTTTAACATCTCCAAAAACACACATGGGAGTTGTATAACACAAAATGTGAGGGCTGCACAAAATGTTACCCATTTTGGATACAAAGCAAGGTTTTATGACAGTCAGTAGACCTGAGTTACTTGTTTTTGTCACGATTGAAAGTCTGCCTAAGGGACCTGATGGCTGCTCTGTGCAACTTGTGTTTTCTACCTTAAGTTGGTAAGAAAAGTACCTTCCACACCGTCATGGATAAGGACATGCCTCTCACGCAGGCCATTTGACATACTTGTCAGGAGCTAATTTTAAAGAAGCGTGATTCCTGGAAGTTTTGCTAGTTTTCTTTCTTTTCTCTCTGAGACAATGTGGAAAGTCTCAGGCTGTCTACATGCATGCAGCCTTCTACAAGATTAGGTGTGGACAGTCTCTAAACCCAGCTCCGCAGTAGCCGGAACACATAGACACCATTCCTAAAGACAGTCCAAGTCTAAAAGGGGATGCAACAGAAACCATCTCTTAAACATTGTCAGTTCCTGGCCAGGTATTTTTCTAAAAGGTTTGTGTCTTCATCTGTTTCCTTGATTGTCCCGCCCACATACCCACCACTGCTTTAAGCTAAGCTGCCTCCTGGGGGCTGTTTCCCTCAATAGGCAGGCCATTTGTTAGTGATGGGCAAGAATGAGTAGCTCTTCTGCTGTTATTGTCTTTATGCTTGTGGTCTCTGCAGGAAGGCTGACTTCTGATAAACACAAGTAGGTATAATGTGGTTGCTGACGAAGTAAACCAAACAGCTAAGCCAGATTTTTGGCCAGAAATTGGTGTTTGTCAGTTTGGTAGCTTCACTTGGGGACTATTTTGGTTATTCTACCAAGGGTCTTTTATTTCCTGATTCAGCAAATAAAAATGATCCATGATGGAATTAAATCCGTCATCTCTAAAGTAAGAAGGACACACATACATTATCATTGTTTTCGAGGATTTGCTTCGTGGAGGTTCTGAACGTAAAGTGTTCTCATTGAAATTCAAGCAGTTTCTGAAGCCAAACACTTTCTCTGTCCTGCAGATGGACTTTCTGGTCGAGACCAGCCTGTGGAGCTGCTAAACCCGGCCCGTGTGAACCACATGTCCAGCACCGGTAAGTCAGCGCTCCCAGTCCTGGGGCCCAGCTCACCTGAAGGCTATTTTGAGGCTCCACTTTCTTGGGAGAGCACGGAGAGAAAGGATTGGAGTTACCAGCTCTATGAAGCTGGGGGACTTTTTTTCTGGGTTAAAATAGGCTGCCCGTCATGGGAATAACATGGGCACTGACTGGATGTTACTTGAGTGGCAGAGATGGGTCATCCTCTCTGTTGCAGTGCCAGAGGCTGTGTCTGAGCTGGAGCTGGGGCCAGAAGTTCCATGCCAGGGGAGGCCACAGGGCCACTGGCGGTGACCGTGGCCCCAGCCTTTCTAGAGGTGAACTGAGTCCATGACATTGTTTCCTACGCCCTTTTGATTTCCCTTTTTTAACAAAAAAGCTTCAACTGTGATTATAAATCTTTCAGTCCATATATGATATTTCTAAATTGTATGCTTTTAGCAAAGTTTCCCAAGTTTACATGGCCGTGGAAATTTTTTCTTTCCTTTTTTTGTAAAACATCTCTCCCCGTGTGGTGTCCTGCAGGGTTTCAGCTCAGTGTGGGTACTGTTTGTTCTTCACAGTCCACTTGGCCTTACTGAAAAGAAAACTAACTTACTGAAGTCCTGGGGTGTGAGTGAGCTATTGTCGCTCCGTCATGTACATGCTCAGCCAGGGCTTTGAGGGCAGTGCTGCTGGACCCTTGCCCTCGCCGTGTCCTGAAGGCCTCTGTCTCTGTGGTTTTTGCTCTGTGGCTCCTCCTGGACCCAGGCTTCCTGTGGCCCCTCTGCACACTCCCTCTGTGAGCAGGGCTGGCTGAGACAGGGAGGTGGCAGGCCCTTCCTTGGCCCTGGCCCCCATCAGAACCACACATTCATGGCCTCATCTTCCCCAGGCCCCTGAAAAAGAAGGCAAAGCTTGCAGCAAGGCTGCGAGTGTCAAAGGAGAGGTTTCTTTCTGTGCAGGGCGATGCTGAGGTCTGCCAAGCTCGCCGTTGGCCTTTCCTCAAGCACAGACCTAGGATATTACTCTGCAGTGCTCCTCGAAGGCGCTTGTTCCAGGGCACAGCGCTCGGGCCCTGCAGGTTTGCTGGTCTCCTCTCTTCTATACTCCCATCTGTGTATCCTCCCCATCTACCAAGCAGTGTACTTTTTACCTCAGGACCTGGGGTGGGAGCTACTTTCAGGTGGCTGATGAAGATGCTCGCTTTAGCAATGCTGATTCCCACTCTCTGTGTTTCCTTTGTTTAAACACTGAGTCCTTGTGCACTTAGGCATTTTGAGACAGCTTCCTGGTGCCCACCAGGGGTGGGAGGGAGGAAGATTTTCAGTGGCTGTACAGACCATGAGAAGGTGGTAAATGTGGGTCGTGTTCATGTGAGCTGGAAGAGATGGGCTTCAAATGGACCTTCTGGTTTGGGAAGCAGTCCCGCTGGCTGAGATCTGATGTGGGGCCAATTTCTACTTCCTGTGGAGACAGACCTTGGACCTCAGTTTGGGCAGAGGGGTTAATTCTCATTCTTCCCCTTCCCCCTAACTTCTTATATGTGAATATCCTTCTGTTCCTCTTGCTCTTTTTCCCTGTTTTATTAAACTTTTTAAATTATAAACTAGTGCTATCGTAAAAGAGGGGAAACATCTACACTAATAAAAGAGAAAAATGGTAATTGGCGTACAATGCTACCCTTTTCATTGGCTAATCAGGGCTATATGCAAATTAACTGCCAACTCAGATGGCAGTTAACTGACAACAAAGATGGCGGTTAGTTTGCATATGTAGGCACAATGCGAGGCGAAAGAAGGGAAAGCAGGAAGAAGCCCCCTGCCACTGACAGTGATCGGAAACCCAGGGGGGAGCTGAGAGCTGGAGGGC